TGAGCTCTTATTTATATGTTTATTTTGGTGATTTGTTATGTTTATTTTGGTGATTTGATAATTGTTAGAATGTTTTTTTTATGGTTAGCCATTTGAAAAGGACACTCATTTGTGAGCAAATCACCCTATGGAAATATGCTTGAAGCCTTTAACCTCAGGACTCCTGAGATGAATCATAAACAAAACAAAAACAAAACAAAACAAACCCACAGGTGAGGTAATCACACAGAATGATCTACTACACATATGTTTTGCAGATATTCCAACATGAAATTGCCTTTACCTGTGTTTTTAAAATATCTACACCCTTCGTTTCAGAGTGGCTAATTAACACGTGATACAACCATAAAACCAACAAGATGAATAAAAAAGAAAAATGATCACAATAAACAGCACAAGTAGTTAAATGAATTCAAATCAAGTGTGAAGTAACCTTCCACATAGTCCAATGTTTGTACAGTGGTACCTCGGGTTAAGTACTTAATTCGTTCCAGAGGTCCGTTCTTAATCTGAAACTGTACTTAACCTGAAGCATCACTTTAGCTAATGAGGCCTCCCACTGCTGCCACACCACTGCTGTGTGATTTATGTTCTATCTTGAAGCAAAGTTCTTAACCTGAGGTACTATTTCTGGGTTAGCAGAGTCTGTAGCCTGAAGCGTATGTAACCTGAAGCATATGTATCCTGAGGTACCACTGTACTGTTGAAGTTTGATCTGGATTCAGATTCTGTGATATGCAGTTCTAGTCCATTTCTGTTTACTCAGAAGCAAGCCTCGTTATGATCAATAGGGCATACACCCTAGTACGTGCAGATGGGGCTCATAAACATGGGAAAGTAGCCCATCTAGAAGAAGGAAAACTCTGATCCTAAACCTCCTCTGCCTTGCGGCAATACTTATTCTTGAGAAAGGCTTTGGGAGTAAACCCCAAGGGAAAATCTGTACCCATTACCTTGCGGGATATATTCAGGAGAAGAAAAGACTAAGGAGTAAACCCTAGACAAATCCAGGGTGGAGACGCTAAGACGGTTGGATGGCATCTTGTACACCTCCTTCTGACAGTTCCAGCAGCCAAGCTGGTGCTATTTGTATTGCTCTTTGGACCTCATCCGCGAGACTATGAAGGGGTCTTATTGTCTTGACAGCCCAGGGCCTCCATACACACTGCCCAGGCTTGCGCCCCAGAGAAGTTACTTCAGGATTGCTAATGCATCTCCAGAGGTTTGACTTCACCCCCGCAGGCTCACTCAATTGTCCCTTGAGACAGACAGATGCCAACAACACCCTAGTAAGCATGTTTACAATTGCAGCCTCCGTTTTCCTCTGCAAAGTGAAGTTAATGACCAGTCAGATGAGAGACTTACAAGGCTGTTGTGAATATATATGATGTAGTTTGTAAACACTTTGTAAAGGAAAATTGTTCTGGGAATTATTGCTCATAAGTTGCACTCGCCTTATTTTCTTTCACCACATTCCAGTTCTAAGTGCATCGCTTCCCCTTTACTAGGCAAATGTAGAGCTTTTTCAGGTCACCCCGATCCACCTGGTTCCACAAATTTCCAGGCCGTCATATAAGGCAAACATCTATTGCCATGGAAACAAATGTTACACTGAGGATAAGTGAAGCCAAGCAGCTTTGTTCAGAACCAGGACATTTTTCATTAAACCCTCGAGAACATGATGCATATTTTGGGAAGAATAATTAAGTGGAAGTCTTTGCAATGCTTTACCACATTTCCATTAGTGAATGGAGTTGGACCTTTTGGATTGGTACCCCCCTCCCCAGCCTAAGAGCCCATTTCCACCTAACACTTTAAAACACATGGTTGATGTTGGAGTTGTGTTTTTTTTTAAAAAAAAAACCTCTTGTAGACTATATTTTATTACATGCCTACATCATAAACCTGTCTCACTTAAGGCTATATAAAAGGGCTGTAAAATTAGCATGCTTGTAAACAACCTTTGCTGCACTTTGGTAAGGAGCAGTGGGAGATTTGCAGAGATCACCTAAATGTGAAGTGAGTCATGCCTCTTATGCACAAATGGAAGGACAAAAGCGGGTTACATAATAACCCTCTATGCTGGTGTGGCTCAGTTCTCTATAATTCTCTACACTATCACTGCTTGGAGACCATTGGCTCAACCTCTGAAAGGTTTAGGATATGGAGGAGTCAGATTTATTTCAGAAGAATGAAAAGACCAGCACTTAAGTTTTAAGTTTACTTAACATTGTATCTGTTTATGATAATAGGACACACTCTTGAACGAGCAGGTTAAGGCATTGGCGTAGCGTGGTTTGCTGGTGCCTGGTGGGCAAATCCCCCTGACACCCATGTAGAGGAGCACCAGGCTAGGCCATACTGGGGTTGCCCCTTGCTTGTCTCCCTCCATCTGTACCCACTCACTGTCTGAGGAGCACACTGAGCCAGATGGCCATTCAACGAGGGGGTTGGGGATGCAGTGGTGAGGCCAGACTGGGCTCCCTGAGAACCCCCCCCCCATGACAGACAGGGAAGGATGGGAAGCCAGGGACAGGGCCTGCCAGGATATGCTTGGGTGGGACAGGGATTCCTGCAAAAGGCTGTGCCTGCATGGGGACACTTAGTTCGCACCCCTCAAAATTGTGCACCGGGGGCCATGGCCCTCCTACCCCCCATGCTACACCCCTGAGTTAAGGTTGCAGTCCATGTACTCTTTTACAACTAGAGCAAGCCACCTGTGGGTTCAATAAGTCCATCAAAAACCTAGATGCATTGGAGCATTAGAATTTAAAGCAATATTGGATGAGTTTACTTCAGTGGTGGAAATACATGCATCTCACTGCTATTTGCTTATGAAGACAATTTGCTTTGCCCAAAGCTCAACCAAACACATGTGACTTAACTGGTTTTCAAGTTGGGCTGCCCAAACATTAGATATGTTGATAGAGGTTTTAGGATCCAAACACTTCATCTATGTTATCTTAGTAAAGCAAGTTAATGTCATTATTATCCCCATATATTGCAGATTTGGGTCACTTTTTGGGTATATTCTAATATTTTAATTGCTCACTTAAAAACACAATACAGTGGTACCTCGAGTTAAGTATTTAATTCGTTCTGGAGGTCTGTTCTTAACCTGAAACTGTTCTTAACCTGAAGCACCACTTTAGCTAATGGGGTCTACAGCTGCCGCTGCGCCGCCACTGCACTATTTCTGTTCTCATCCTGAAGCAAAGTTCTTAACCCGAGGTATTATTTCTGGGTTAGCGGAGCCTGTAACCTGAAGCGTTTGTAACCTGAAGCATATGTAACTCGAGGTACCACTGTACACAACTGCATTTGGGAAGTCTTACAAATATGCTAGTCAGAAAACTGAGCTGGCTGCAGATCCCAGTTGAATTGATACATTCTGCCTCCACCTAATGTGTGAAGGGGTCCAAATAGAACAGTAATGTGCCTAAGGTCAGCCCTGGTGCAGTTCTGACAGAGGTTAGAGTTGGCATATCCTACCTTGCTCTTAGCCACTATGTGAGGCCAGCTCTGCAGCAACTAACCCATCAGAGCATTTCTCCACACACACACACCCTGTGTCCTCTTTTTAAAAAATTAGTATTAATCAAAATCTGTAAGAGAAGAAAAATTCTCAGAAGTAGGGTCTTCCTTGCTCTCAGTAACATCAAACAAACAAGAAATGGAGAGGGAGGGAATTGTATTTTATTTGAAAAATACATTATAAAGCAGATAAAAGACCTACTGTATTTCAATTAAAGGCATGAAGCACATCATAAGGAAACTATGATATAGATTGAAAGACAAAAGGCAGAATGGAAGGATGACATCTATGTGGAGTGATACTGAATTGGGGGGTATTAAAATAAGGGCTCTCTGTTATGTTCTCTGAAGTCCTGGGGTTAAGGATGTTAAGATTAAGGATCAAATAGATCCATCTGAGATCTCTAATATCAACTGAGATTATAGAAGACACACAAAAGAGGTCATGTGCATCCGTGGATGGGGACTGGCTCTACAGACTTTAGAAGTCAATGAGAGAATCAAAATTTGTCTCTAAATGTATCCCCAAGACCAAAATAGGTGTGATGCAGCATGTTTAATTAAAGTCACTGAATATACATTCAGTTCACTGTCTGGGGAAAATTAGATTCTAGTCTAGTTTAACAAAAACGCAAACAAAAGGGCATAATAAAAATTTCAAGAGTATTCATTTCCTGGGCCAGTGGAGCTCTAGTGTCATCAGGAGGAAGGATTAATATTTTTGCTTGAAGAAGAGGGAGCTTTCAAAAATTATTTTCAAAATGGCTCCATATGATTGCACATTATCATCCGTTAATCTGTATATGATATTTGATTATGTTTACCTCCTGTGTGAATGCTGAATCTCAAAACTGATATTAAAGAATGATACCTTTCTCTTGCCATTGTGGTGTAACCCTGGAGAGTGACCACTTTTAAATTAGAGCTTCATTTAAATGGCATTTGGGTGCCTAAGTTATCCAAAGGGCTCCTTCTTCAGGACACCAAAGTGATTTCCTTCTCATCCTGGACCTTTAATCATTGACTTCTTTTTTTATTTTATTTTTAAATTAAAGAAGCATCTGCGGAATTCACTGGGGAGCAACCAAGGGCCCTTCTGTGAAAGGCTCCAGACTTGGGCACCCTCTTGTGTGTAATTAAGAGATCTATAATTGATGTGCAGACAAAAACGATCTGAGTGAAGCATTAAAAAACGAAGCATCCTTTTCTACCTGGTGCTTGACAACCTTCTGCCCTTTAGCAGAGCCCAAGTTTGCAAACAGCGAAGGGAAGGGAAGCGAATGTCTTCTCTGCCGTAAGATCATGTCTAGTAAGTCACGGCAACAATAACAGCGGCTCATTTGAAAGCCGGCGAAAAGATAGATTGCAAAATGCACCTTCTGCTTTCTCCAAATACATGTCAATTTCATTTCGCCCTGCCTACAACCTTTAGTCAACTGAGATGAAAGAAAACACCCGGACGCTGCTTTAATCTTAACCCGCCCTTTCAGATTTTTATTAGCAATTCTTTTTGGCTTCATATAGTTCGACACTGGGGCTTCTGTGTTTTTATTTCTTTTCTTTTTGGAGCTCACAGGCTTCGTATTCGGCAAAAAAAACAAAAATAAAAATGCTAAGATTTTTACCGTCAGAAATCTGTGGACTTTCCTTGCAGTCAGCCGTGCATGCCTCTTCTCTCTGTGAAACTGAAAGGGCTTCTTTGAAATTAGCCGGATAAATTTTTGCTTTTGGCTTAACAACTAAATGATGTCACTTCTTACAAAACGTTGCCAACACAAAGGGCCCTAGACTTTTGCTGCCTTCTCTGTAACTCTCTCCCGTCCTTCGATGTGCGGGCACGAGCACAGGCGCGTGCACACACACACATCGTGTGTTACTTGGTTTAACTTCAATTGCTTCCGGCTGCTGCTGCTATTGTCATCATAACCTTGCTCGTGAGAGTTAAAAGGTCATTTACGCAGAGAAATTAAAAAGTTTATTCACATAAAGTATCCAAATTGTAATAAATGAAGTGCTTCATCGCAAAGTTCAAGCAAGCAAACTATTTCCAAATGTATGACAACCCTCCCCCCCTACCTCGCTGGATCCTAAATTTAAAAATAAGGTAGCAAGTATCTTATTTCTTCTCTCGTTTAAAACACCTCTTATCTCAAGCCACACCATCGTTCTCATTATCACATATTGAAAATGATTTTATTTATCCATTTACATTAACTTGATATATAAACTTGTTGGCAAAAGTCAAATCATATGCTTTATAGTAGCCTCAAACATTTATTAAGAAACCCAAAATTCCATAATAAATAAGCACAGACAGTAAGTTTTCTTTTCTTTTCTTTTTTTCTTTTAACATATCACAAATCGACCAGTATGTAACAAGAATGCTTTATCTACACAAAACATCCTATTTCACGTTGTTTGTTCATTCTTCGAAATAGCTTCTGTTCTCTGGGATTGGACCAGCACATGCAGAAAGGGAGAAAAAAATAGCTGATTGTTTTATCTGTACAAAGTCTTTGCCAGGTTGGAGATGTCTCAAGTCCACGTGCGCCAGGCATCTATCTATCAGCCTGCTGCTCGGAGAGGGAGGGCAACAAGAGAAACTGGAGGGACAGCAATAACCGAAACAAAGAAATCAAAACGCCCACAAAAAGAAAAAAGAGTAATAGGAAGTGTTTGGAGTGGGTTCTTTTTTAAAAATCGTTTGAATCCCTCCCCCGCCCCCCAAAAAATTCGCTTAAAAATGCTTTTATCAAAATCGGTTCAATTTCCCCTTCACGCTTCACATCCTGACCACTATTCTTGCCTCGCAGCCACCCGAAGGCCAAACTTGCCCGTTAAGAAAACCTTTCTATCAAAACCCCTGCAACCAACTTTCATCTTTATTTGTACACGCACATGCACACATTGTATACTGTCTTTCTACATGAGGTGGGTTTTTGTTTTGGTGTTTTGTATAAAAAAATAAAAGCCCAACAGATGCCTGGATCTGAATTTGGCTGTGCGGGGCTTGGAACTCGGTGGGGGTAAATTAAAGGAGGAGATCCAACGAGTCCTTTTGTCAGGTTGAGTATCTCTCAAATCCTTATTAAGACACACGTCGATTGTGTTTCCGCCCTTGGAGCACAGTAGGCGGCGGTTGGGGTGAGCGTGTTCCTTGTCTGTATGTTTTTATGTGTGCGTGCGCTTGCCTGGGTCGTGTTATTTGGACGACCACTCTTAAACTCTGCCCGCAAACCAGTCCACTCACTTCTGATCCTGAGTCGACTCCCTGGTAAGTGTTTTGTTTTTGTTTCCCCCTCCCTCTTTAAAGTACAAAAAAATGGCGGGAGTGGGGAGTGAGGGCAGGGCTGAGGTGAAGAAGAGGAGGAATTAGAAGAAGCAAAAAGGGCGGGAAAGCGGGAGGCGCGGCTGGGGGCAGGCTGCTGGCTGGCTGGGAAGGCGGGAAGGAGACGCCATTAGGTGAAGCTCATGGAGACTGTGTGCTCTAGCGCCTTTCGGCGGAGGGAGGCGATGCTGGTTCCCCGCCACACGTCGCTGCTGTCCGGGGAGCTGCAGAGCTGCGGCGAGCCCGTCACGTTGCTGGGGCCGGGCAGGGAGGCGGGGACCATCCCGGGGAAGGCGGGCTGGTAGAGGTGCGACTGCAGGCCGGCGCCGTTGGAGCCCGCCAGGCTGTTGGACAAGCCCATGGAGTTGGGCGGGGGCCCCGCCGCCAGGCTGCACTGCGACAGCGACTGCGCCATGGCCTGCTGCCGGCCCAGCGCCGGCGGCAGGGGCAGCTGCGACACGCCCGGCATGCCTGCCGCGGCCCAGCGCGTGTCGTTGGCGTGGAAAGAGCAGAGGCTGTCGCCCATGGCGGCGGCGGCGGCAGCGGCGGCGGAGGGGAACTGGGGCAGGCCCGGCGTGGGGAGCAGCGTGCCGGGGGCGCGGAACACGTTGGTCGTCTTCTTGCGCTTCTTCCACTTGGCCCGCCGGTTCTGGAACCACACCTGGCCGCCCGTCGTCGCCGGCGGGGAAGGAAAGGACAAGTGGGGGGAAGGACAGAGAAAAGAGAGGCCGGTTAGCGTGGGCTCTCCGGGCAAAGCGCTTGAACAGGCGCCGCGTCCCTCCGCCACCCGCCTCTGTGAGGGCCCACGCCTCTGGCTGGAGGCCCTAAAGGCGAAGATGGAGTTGTCAGGAGGGGGGAAGAAGGCGTCTGTGTGTGGATACAGACGTCTGCTGTCTGTCCTGCTGTCCGGCTAAAATATGGGTTTTTACGCACTGGTATTTTATCATTGCTCTTAAGGACTTTCGCTGCCTTGTTTCCTTCAGCCTCGCCACGGTTCCTCCGAAACCGACCCCAAATATTCCATTGACAAATATGGGAGCATAAGTGAAGGGAGAAAATAAGGGCAACCATTCTATTTCCATTGGGGACAAAAGGGAGAATATTATTTTAAAGGTGGTGGTGGAGGAGGAGGAACATTTCCCCACTCTGGACACAGATGACTTGAGGGATAAAATAAAAGAGCTGGCATACTGTATTTACAATCCTTAGATTTTAGCCCTTTGAAATAGTATTATATATTTATTTATACCCTGCCTTTTCCCCTGATAGAACCCAGGGAAAACAGTAGAAAATAAAGTTGTTACTCTGGTACCAATAATCTGTTATTTTACTGTTGTGAGTTTGCTACAGCTGTTACTATTTTTGTAATAATGTTTAGATTTTATAATAATTTTTCTTAAGCATCTAGACTCATATCTAGTTTGGGAGGCCTACTATGTGACCATAGGCACAAAAGAAAAAAATAAAGCTACAATCGTACCTCTTATTTCTGGAGCTAGCAGTCTAATTAATATCCTGGTGCATAAACAAGTTGTGCAAAACTTGTGTTTAAGACAATGTGAATGACATAACTTTCATGGTTCTTATAGTACCTCATCCTAAGCACTCTTGAGATTTGCACCGAAATCATTGGTGAAATATTTCAAAGAAAACATATTTAGAGAACGGTGTCATTGTGTTTTTTCTCAAATATGCACATTTACCTTCAGATTTACGCACAAGTTCCATTCCTCACATTTGAACTAGGTGTTCAGTAGTAGCTGAATCACAAGCCATGTGGGCTCTTTAGTTTCAGTGATTTAACTTAAGTTCAGGTTAAATTGGTTTCTGACTGAGATTGTAGAAAAGTTCTTCACTAACCACTTGAGTTCACTAGATCTACAACACTTTTAAATAATCTAATGGGATATCTTAGGATATCAAAAAATATAATCAAGATAAGTACATTAATATAAGCTATAAAATATTTATGTGTAAGAGATGCATCTGTAGGCATGTTCATTTAATGCACCAGAAGATTGTGTTTCTTATAATAGTTTTAAAAGTATCCACCCCTTATTTGCATTAGTTCCATATGCTTAGAGCAAATATATAAATTGGAATACGGACTGCATTCTTTGCCCGTCTTTACAAGGACTTTTGCATATAGAAGTACATTTTTAGCTACCCATATGCATGTATGTATGTTTTATGTGAGGCTAGATATGTGTATATTTTGTATCCTGATTTGCATACATCAACAGACAATATGGAAGATGCATACTCATCTACAATTGGCATCCATATTTTATCTATGCTGGTTATTGAGAACCCTGCATTTGGTACCCATGGCTGGGAATCACACAGGAAACCACTGTTGCTGCCCTAAAGCATCCAGCCACAGGATCCATACACATAGCATCTGTTGCATATGTGAGCCTAGATCAGCAAGGGAATATGGATGAACAGGAGAAAGCTGTGTATTGATCTCTCTACTGGGATCAAACAAATAAGTGTGTTTTGTTACAGATATGTGGAGCACTCTGAATATACATTGCAGATGGATGTGTAGAGGTCCCATACACATTTTTATTTTTATTTTAGTGCTTAGCAGTGGTTTCCAATAGGAGTTATTCCTACTACCTGAGTACCAGAAGTTGAAAGCACTGAATATGCCATACTTCCCAGTGAAATAATTGGTGTTTTCATATGTTTTTCTTCCTACTTCAAGGCATGAGGAATACTCATATTGTAAATGTAAATAAGACATAAGGGAGACTTTTCCCCAAAAGAAATAATTTATATAATGTAATTGGAAACAAAGCCAGATTAGTGACTACTTGGAAAAGATTGCTGCTTACTGAGAAGCTGAGCTTTAAATATATATATTAAAGTTTTTGTTTTGCAGTTGACTTGTGGTGAAGCTCAAGTACCTCATTAAGGAGATGCAACAAAGATGCATTAAATCATTACTTCAAGTGAGCTGCCACTGCAATAATTGTGGAGCATTTTGCTTTAGATATTCATTCTGATGCCTTAGTTAATCAACCGAGCTTCTGTCAGCTCCACCAAACGTTGAACTCGTCTGTGTCAGCAGCTTTTCATTTTCTACTGAGCCATTCAACTCGGCTTTTAAAAAAAATTACGGTAGGCCTTTCCCAAGTGTCTAAATACTAAGCATAAATAAACAAGACTCGAACGCTAAGCATACTTGACCTGGTATCAGACTTTCAGAAATTAGTGGGACTCAACTTCTGAAAAACATCCTTAGTATTGCACTATAAGTAGGCTTTTGAATATGAGCAAGCGGGACTTGGCTGGATAGGAAAGCAAACTGAGGCGGGTAACGCGATCCTATGCAGGTTTCCTCTGATGTACCCCCCCCCACTGAACTGAATGGCGCACACTCCCCTTCTAGCCTTAGAATACCTCCATTGAACTCAGTGAGGCTTACTTTCGAGTAAACATGTTTAGGATCGCGCGGCGCAACTATCGTGAGACAATGTTGGTATTTTTGGTTTTACTCCAGTCGAGTTAATTACATGAACGTATATGTCACGCGAATATACACAATTTTGCATGTACTGTATATGTAAATGTTACGAGTTCTTAATAAGTGACTTGGCCTGGTATTCATTTATTTCTCTGTGGGAATATTCTTTGGCTTGGTGGTTCTCTCCAGCTCTCTCCCCGACCTGTTCTTTATTGCCTTCTTCTGCCTCGACCCCTTTCTCTCTTTGCACTGTCTTACCCTGCTGTTTTACCCCGGCCACAGCGCTGCCGCCGCCACAAGTTGATGCGTAAAAAAGATTCGTGAAAGGGCAGGAACTTTTGCAGCGCAAAAGGGGGGCAGAATGGAGATGCGTATTTGGGCTGGGCCCTACCCAGAGTCAAATCTGGATACATGGTGTACACCCCACTTGGTTGCTTTGCTTTTTTAATAAGGGACGCAAACTCCAGTCTTGGAACCAGGAATTTCCGTAACAATTCCAAATCGGTTTGAGTATTTATTGTCCCACTCCAACCTTTTGTTTTAAGAACCGTCGGTGTGCGCTTTAGTAACAAAGATCCTTGTCTTATTTGCGGGCGGTGGGCGTACTGGGTTGCCACGCCACTCTGGAATGGGGCCGCTCCGAGCTCTTGTGCCTACTCCGCTTTAGGGACAGTCTACAAGCCTTCTACGGATTTGAGAGGCTCCGGAGCACCGCCGCATTCTTTCAAACCCTTCAATTTATACAGGGAAATGCGATTGGCCATTAGCAAGAAGGAACAGCTGTTAAGGACTTAAATGTTATAGGAATAATAATAGGAAGGAAGGCAGGAAGAAAAAGATGAGAGGGGGAGAGGGAGAGAGACGGAGAAAAGTCGTGTTCAATTATGTTTTAGGGTTAATAGTTAAATGGTGGCCACAAAATCTTTTTATGTGTCATGGTTTACTGGGGTTGTAAAAGAATCTCCATCAGGTCGTCATCGCCTCACTTCAGAGCGACGGCGCATATGCTTTTGAAAATGTGAACGTATCCACTTGGAAACCGGTGCATGACAGATTAAAAGGGAGAGAGAACCTGAGGGAGGTTTTGAAAAGGCGCACATGACAACTCGGAGCTGGAAATATATTAGCCACAGGCATTTGGGCAACTTCGGCTGCGATCAGAAAACGCAGCGACTCCCCCTCTGCTTCCCCACCGCCCAACATTATTAATACAACACTGAGGGTCTAATGGAGTTTGCAATTTCAAACTCTACTTTCATGATACCTGCTGCTACAGTAATATAGACATACTGTAAATGTATTTGGAAATATATAGCCCGTTTAATTCCCCAGCTATAAATGGGGAAGAAAAAAGGGGAGAGGATATTACTTTCCTTTCTCTCCCCACCCCAACCCCCTCCTCTCACAAAGCTTTATGAAGATCTCATTGGAATCCAGCGGATGATTAATGCGAAGATTTGGTAGGAAATCTGGGGAGCTGCATTAAAGCTCAGATTTCAGGTTCATTTCGATCAGCCAGCCGTGAACTCTAGGCCGAATTCATTACGCTTTAATAGTTACTGGGAGAGGAAGAAAATGCAATTTCTCATTCCATTAGAAAACTAGAAAATACTCTCAGCTTGTCCCCTATTAAGATGTGGCAGGTGACACGGCCAGCGCGGGGGGACACGGTCAATGGAGTCTCAGCACATTATTTTTAGGTTGGTGTAAAATATTGAAAGGCAAGCCTGGCTGTGCAGAAGTTATTTCACTGATTTGCTTTTTATGTAAATAAAATATTGAAAGTTAATTAATCAGCGCGAGAGACTAATGATTATGCTTATTATATTGCATTGGATCGCTGTCATTTGCATGATTCTCGCATTGCTGCTTAATAAGCCATTCCAGGTTATAAATAATTCTGAAATTGGTTTCTAATAATGGCATGCTATAAAAAGAATGGTTTTATTACACCCGGTCTGGAAAGAGGCGGGGGGGGGAGAGAGAGAGAGAGCGCAAAGTGGTAGCTTAGGCGTGGGATAGGCCTTTTCGACAAAGCAGGGGTAGGTTTTTAAAATGTAGAAGACAGGAAAGTGAGAAAAAATATAATTTATTCTTGCATATAATGGTGCATAGAGAGCAGCTCGAAAGGCGGGCGTGTGGAGCATTCCCGGATCAATGTGGAGCCCCCTACGCGCCGCAAAGGCTGTGTAAACGAGACCATAAACCCATCCATTACTCTTTCATTTCCATTTGGTCAAGTAGCAAGAATACAATGAACTGGGAAGTAAATACATTTCCCATAATTTATTTTTGCACAAGCTTACACAATGTTAATCATTCTGAAGTGTTAATTAAGAAGGTTATGTTGATTTGATTACTTTTTAAACTGCAGAACATTATTGTAAAGAATATTTAAATTGCCACTCGATTAAATTGTTTCTATTCAGCCGCCCGTAGCTATTAGCAGCGTGTAGGATTATGCTGAGGTCATTAAAATGCTCCCCCCCCCCCATTTCACTTGGAGGTGAGTCCTACTGAGGTGAACGCTACTTACTTACAAGTAAAGCTGGAAAACCACGGGGGTAAAAATATGGATAGTTTCAGGCTGTAAGCGACCTCGGGTCGCCCTCTGACGCACGCTTACCTTCGAAGGAAAGGCAAGAAACAATATGATTTAAAATGGAATAACAATCCTTATCACTGTTTTAATCGCGACTGGGGTCTTTGAAAAGCACTTGTTTATGTTGAAGTGGAGGGTTTTATTTTGCGTTAGCAATTGTAAATGAAGCGAGGTAATTATTCTGTATTAATTAATTAACCCAAAATAAGATCGTATGCATCTGTTCATTCTCCGTAATTTCGTTTACTATCTGTAAATCGTTGTAGGGCCAGGATCCCATTATCATTTAGTTCTACGGAGTTCCACCACTGGGGAGAGGAAGCGGGTGAATAATCGCTATTTCCATTCTATATTATGCATTTTGTTTCGTTCATCACATTCCTGATAATGAAATTGCTTATTAACCTTTGGAGAAACCCAGTGGAGTTTAATAGGCTTCCTGCTCTTTTCCTTTATTCCTTCCAAGTTAGTTGTCCAATTATATTTTATTTGGAACCAGATTTCATTTTTAATTTAAACTAATTAACGTTCTACACGGGTTGAATAAATCTGTATAACTTATCTAATATATATAAATTCAGAGAAGAATTGCGGTAGCTTTCGGGTTTTAGCATTGGTTTGGTTTTTAAATTGGTTTGGTTTGGGCATGCGTAACAATTTTTCTGGAAGACTCCCCATTATAGTGTTTTCTAATCTAATAGATAATATTAATGCACTTTTTATAGGTAGGTATATGGTGACAGAAACTCTGTTGAACGCAAACACAGAAGTTCTCCTTGGGATTTAAAAGTGTTGTTTCTAGATTTCCTCTGCATTTATCTGCTTGGCGTTCTTTAGTTCTGGCTAAATTAATTAGAGAGGATTACAACTCACGAAGTACATACACATCTATTCTCTCTATACAGAGAGAAATCTCATTGATTTCCCTGTAATTAAGTTCCTCATAAACCTGTTAATGATATCAAACTAAAATGATGGTATTGGAGTCAGCAGCATTTAATTAGTGCCTTTAAAAAAATATCTAAAATGCTAATGCCTCCAGATAAATTCGATTCCACTTTAAGATTTTTTAAAAGAATACATTTTTGCTTTTCGGTATCAGCGATTTCAATCAGAATAATCAAAATAGAAAGAACCAAGGAAAGGGAAAGTTCAGGACTGAGGACAGCGCAGAGTCATTTTAACTAATCGGACTGAAATAAATTCAAACCTCCCAGTATGCGAAGCAGGAAGATAACACAAAAATGATTTGTTTTCTTAAAGAGTGGGACAAATGTGTGCTGAAATTGAATATTACCTCACCACAAAAAAAGAGATTTGTTATACTTCTCTTAAATTATTTCATCTTTTCTATAATGCGTCCAATGCGTTTGTTCATAAACAGAGAGTTGTTTTTGCTAATACTCCTTAACATAAAACGCTAATAAAATTAAAATTAAAACTTCTAGCAAAGGCTTTCTCTGCCTTGGGTTTTTAAGGCTCTTTGAAAATATTTCTTACACTGCTGCCTCAAACGCCTTCCTTGGTAGTGAAATCGAGCAATGTGTTTGGGATCGGAGTGCCAGTCTGTTGCCTTAGAAATCGATCTCGAAGCGTTGTAGCGTTCACTGAATGTACAGCAGCGAAATTCCCAGGCCGCTTCAAATAAACTAAGTTTTGTAACGCAGCGTCTGTGCTGTTCAGTGCTGTGATGGAGCGGAGGGCAGGATATTTATTTTATTTTATTCTTTTAATGGGAAGGCTTCGCTTTGGGCCATCGAAAGCATTGCTTTTAGTTGGTGCCGTTTAATGAAACTGCTGCATTCGCGTCTCTAGACTGGAGAAACAACAGCAGCCCTTTCTCACTTTTGAGACAACTTTAAAACAAAACGAAAACCACAAGTTCGAACTCCCGCCCCCCTCCGTGATTGAAAATCCTTTCCGTGAGGAATTTGATTAGCTAGCCCTCTGTCCCTAATCAGGGGAGCTCAATGACCCTAATTAACCAGCGCGGGGTAGTAACGTTTAAGTCCCGCCACCCTCCTTTTGGGTCTGGGGACGGGGGCGCCCCCTGGCCTGAACGGGGTGGGCGATGGAGGGTCGGAGAGTGGAGGAAGGTGGGTGGCTTGGCCGCTCGGTGGATGGACAGACGGCGAGCGCCTACCTGGACCCGGGACTCGGTGAGGCCGATGCGCAGGGCCAGCTCCTCGCGCATGAAGATGTCCGGGTAGTGCGTCTTGGCGAAGCTCCTCTCCAGCTCGTTGAGCTGCGCGGGCGTGAAGCGCGTCCGGTGCCGCTTCTGCTTCTGCTGGCCCTGCTGCTGGCCGGCCTGGCCGGGGTTCTGGCCGCCGCCCCCGCCTCCGCCGCCGCCGGGCTGACCCTGCTGCTTGTCCGGGTCCTTGGCGCCGACCGAGAGCGCGCCGGGCGTGGAGCCCACGGCGGAGATGTCGTCGCCGGGCAGCAGCGTGGAGCCTTCCACCGAGTCCGCGCTGGCAGCCAGGTCGCCCGGGTGGCCTCCGGGTTCCGAGCCTCCGACGCCCAAGCGGCACTTCACCGCCTCCCGGTGGCCCAGCAGCTCGGCGGCGTCTTTCATCCCTGCGGAGGCAAAGCAGCGGCCCGCCGCCATTCAGCCAGGCGCACACCACGGTCCACCCTCGGCCGGCGGGCCCGGACGGTGTCCACCAGCGCCCTAGGCCAACCCGGCCCCCGACGGGGAGGAACTGGGCCGGCCCACCCTGCCTCCTTCCCACCCCCCAAGAACTTGGGAGCCATCCCGCTTGGATAGTCGCCCCCGGACACCCTCTCCTCGCCCGAGGGGGCCGCCTTGCGCCTTCGCCGGGAGAGGCTCCCGAACATCCACCTGTCCAAAGCCAAGGGCGCCTCAATTTATTTCTTAAGGGTAGGCAAACTAGATACACACATGCAGGATTATTTCAAAAGACCAAAAAAGAGAGACTTAAATAAAATAAAAAACAAAACAGGAAGAAGACAAAGGAGAGGGAGAGGGGCCACAACCTAAAACGAAATGGCCCCCCAGTTCCGCTACTGCTGCTTTTGGATCTACATATTCCATAGGTGGTTTGTTGTTGTTTTTAAGATGGCGTTAAATCAAATCAAACTTTAATACAGTACAATTACTTTTAAAGAAATTAGTCGCATTAAGGTAAAATCAGGCACAAATTGTCCATTTCCTGCCCGGGGCTTCTTCCTTGGCTCCAGGTGCTGCTGGGGGCGAGGGAGAGGGAGGAAAGAGGGGGGGAAGAGAGGCTTTGGGGGGCAACTCACCGAGCCGGGCGTCCAGGAGGTCGGCGTGAGAGAGCATCGCGCACCGCTCCAGGGCGAAAGCTGTACCCCCCCAAATTTTAGCGGTTGGTGGTGGGGTTTTTTATGGAAAAAAAAAGTTGCACCGGATCTCGCTCTCTCTCAAGCTTATAGATATATATTTATATATAGATCGCCTAAATGAAAGAAAATTCGGTGTGTGGTTAAAAAGGGGGTCTCTTGCATTATAATGTCCTTTAGAGAGACGGGGAGGTGCTTAACACTTCAGTGAACCCGTGAGCAGCTCAGCGAAGGGACCAATCAGGAGGGCAGCCTGCAAATGTCAGCACCCAAAGAGTCCCCGCTCCACCCGCCCGCAGCCTCAGCACCACCAGCCGCAGCAGCAGCAGCAGCAGCAGCAGCGCCGAGCCGCGCGGGCTGGGCTTTTAAAGCCCCCGTCGCCATTCGCCTTCTCTCCCGCCCCGCGCTGATGAATTGCCGGAGAGCAGCCTCCCCCGCCCCACTCTTATTTTTTATTTCTTTTTTTAACAAAAGTGACCTCCTGATCAAATTAGTTGGAAATGACTGACAAAGCCAACCCAATAAAAAGAGGAATATAGGTGGCTGGGTGGGGGGGACAGAAGTGAATGGCTGGTGTGTTGTGCTGTTCCTTTCCCCCATCGCCACCACCGTCTTACACACACAGGCACTTTTTAATGTCTTGGTTGTGGTGTGTTGTTGCTGTTCTTTTGCCGTCGCTTTGGGGTTTGCGGGAGGGGAAAAGCGAGGAAAGAGGACACAGAGATTCTGCACAGCTGTGGAGTGGCGGGGGTGTATCTGTTCTGGGGATAAATTGTGTAGATGGCTTTATTTAAGGATTTCTAATGTGGGGTATAAACTTAAGTGCATCCACTAATGTGGGATGGTTGGAAAACGCAGCAGAGAGGAAAACGGAGTGTGACCCTAATGAAACGTCTGTAGTAACCTGGATCTTTGCAGCAGTCTTTCCTCCTCATCCCTCCTCCTCCCCGCCCGCCCCCCAAATCCCCACAAGGATCTCAGTCCGCTGAATTACATATTTGTATAAAACAGGAATAATTCCAGCAGTTGTCTTGGTTTAAGGAGGAGGCAGCGCCTCCAGGCGCCTCCTTCATTCACCTGGGCGTGTGAGAAAGTTTCTAAGTTCAGCTTGTCTCCAAACTCAGTTTAAGACAGTAAATAAAGCTGAATATTTTTTTTTACAAAAAGAAACAAAACAAAACATTATTTTCCTCTTGAATATGTTAAACTATCCCAACAATTTCAAGTGCTTTGCACAAGGGAAGCGAACCATTTCTAATGTTCTGATTTTTCAAAGCCAGCCAACAACAAAGTTTAGATTAGTAATATATTTCTAACCAGAGTAATTTTCAAGATCATTAGGCATTTATGTAATTAGTGCCAAATCTATAAGCTTTTATTACGATTATTAGAGTAAAATCAGTATAAATTTGTACTAATTTACTACTGTTTAGACTTGGCTGTCAAGGCAAGAGGTTCTTATTGTAAATGATAACGGAGGAAATTAAGTGCAAAATTCTGTACCGTTTCTGATCCGCTCCTAAACAATCCGTTTCAATTGTATTTGTAGCAGAACAGAATGGCCTTTTAAAGTTATTTGATTCTTTTTTTCTTTCTCTCCCCGCCCCATTCTCCAAAGGAGGGGGGGCCTGGAATTGCCATCTAGGCCAGGCACAATGAAAACTGATATTTCCTTCTTCCAGCTTGATTAACATTGATTTTTAATTCGAGAGTGATGCAATTAAGATTATTCATGTAGTGCAAATAAAGCTTACACACACACACACACACACACACACACACACACACACACCAAGCGAAGATGGGTGGGGGTGGGGAATTCACCTGGGAGATTCTCTCTGCTCAGTAATAACCGGGCGAATGGCTTTTTTGATTATTAGTGGTGGTGGTGCTGCTGCTGCTTCGCCGCCCGACGGACACCCACAAAACATTGCTCGGCCTTTGTGTTTGGGGTTTCTTAACCCCCTCCCCGCCTTTCCTTTCCTGCTGGCAACGCAGGGGTGGTGGGTTTCGGGCTGGCACTGAAAAGGGGAGACAAAGGAGGCGGCCGAGCGAGCTGTGGGGCAGTTGAGCGCCTGGCGAGCCCGTCGATGATCCCATTCAAGGGGTCGCTGTCAGGCTGGAGAGCGTGAAGGGCTGCCCGCCTCTCGGCCCTGTTTGGAAGACTTGGAAGCATGGAAGCAGCAAGCCCAGCCCGAGAGCAAGGGGGTGGGCGCGGGCGGGGGGGGGGGAGAGAGAAGGCCCTGCTGCTCCAATCTCCCCAAATGAGCTAACCATCACCAGCCGGAAAGACAAAAGAAGCAGACCAAGCTCCCCGCGATGCCCACTTTACAAGGGGAGCGGGAGTAAGCCTGCAGGAGGGTTGTGGAAGGGGCAGCCGATGGTCTTGGCTCGCTCCCCCTACCCCCCACCGAGTGGCCTGCCTGCCTAGTGGAAAGGGCAGGTGGCCACTTTGGGCAGCTAATCCCCGGGAGTCTCAGTCTTGCTGGGCGGCACACACTCCACCTTTTGGACAGCGCATCTCACGAGCCGGAATAGTTTTGCCCAATTCTCTCCTCTCTTTCTCGCTCTCTCTCTCCCCCAGACTATTCCCAGCTGATCCCAGACACACCCACACACCCCGCAGTGCCCTCCTGCCTCGCCTCGTCCTGTTTCTAGTGGCCTAGCACATTTCCGAGGGTCGCTTCCCTTCTTTGCCTTTTTGGGAAGTGGGGGTGCTCCATATCTCTCTGCCCCTCAGTCCCCCCCCCCAAAAAAATCTGCCAACTTCCACCAGATCCTGAGTTCGGCTGGCTCGGCGTGCGCCTTTCAAGTCGATAAATAAAGGGCGTAATAGTTAATGGGCAGCCCCATCATCGCGCTTAACAAGGGGCTGGGACCCGCGGCTTATCCATCTCGCTTAGGAGCCGCGGGAAAACAAGGCTGCGGCGTGATGGATGGCGCGCTCCCTTTTATGACTTTTCTATTGCTCTTGATTTTTATAGCAGGATAAACAAACTAAATCATTCCTTCCGAGGCTTCAAAGCGCGATGGGCTTGCGGGGGGCTTCATGGGAGGGAAGGAGGGGAGAGAGGAGGAGGCTGTGAGAGGGAGAAAAGGGAAGAAAAGAATGGAAATCGGGAGGGAGGAGGAGGGGAGGGGGAAGCCGGGACTAGACGCTTGTCAGAGTGAAAATATTCTTGATTTTTCTCTATGTAAAACACGCGCGCCCCCACACACACGTTTCATCTTCTCCGCCTCTTGGATCCAAGAGTATTGGAGGAGAATTGGATTCCACCTGGGCTGAGTCGGAGATGTATTTACAAAGATCTCCCAGCCCCTCGTCATCTTTCCCCCCTCCCCCACCGCCCACCTCCCTCCCTCTTCTCTACTTCCTCAACCCCCCCCCCCCAAGCAAGCCAGAAAAGTGCCAGTCAGGCCCATTCCTTGGATAATGGAAGGTATTTCCCACCTGATCAGGCAAAGTGAAGTCCCTAACAAGGCACGGCTTAGCACAATGGCCCCCAAAATCTCCACCATGACAAGAGTGTTCTTCAGAAAATCACTTCAGAGCCAAGTAAAAGGATTTTCTATGACGGATCCGGCGATTTTCCCTCCATAAATAGGTTTTAGATTGTTACACACACGTAGGACTGGAACAAAGGGAACGACCAGGGAACATATTGCTTGCCCCTAATAAAATTTATTTAGGCGGTTTACTCCTCATAAAAAAGAGAGATTGAATTTTGTACAAGAGTGCCCCTGCCAAAAGGGCTGGGCGCCGGGAAATCATCCCCGCTTTGGGGTGTCCTCCTCCTCCTCCTCTCCCCCTGCGCGCCGCCTGCTGCCGCCGCTGCTTCCAGTCGGCCAAGCCGTGGAGAGGGAGGGGGGCATGTCCAGACACAGCTGGAGGCGGAGAGGGGAGGCCGAGGGCAGCTTTGGGGGTCGGCAGGGGTGGGGAAACAGAAATAGACATCGCAGATAGAGAGGCGCCGCCGTCAACTGCGGCCTGGAGGAAGAGGAGGGTTGGGGAGGGGACTCTGGAAGTGCCACCTTCAGGGGCTCCTCAGACGCGGCCGCAACAGAAAGAGGATGGGTTTCACACACACGCACCATTTTGACCCAGATCTGGGGTTATTGTCCTTGCCCCCTTAAGGCCTCGATCCCACCACTGATTTCCAAAGGACTCAAATAAGGGGGGGGCACGGGGTGGGGTGCAGGGGGGGTCCACTTGTTTATTTGCATCTTCGAGGCGCCTTTGGCACAGCGGCAGACACCCAGGAAGCGACTCTGCCTGGCTTCCTAATTGCTTTGCACACTTAACAGAAGCTGCCCCCCCCCTTTGCCTTTCTTGTCCCCCCCCCCTTTATAGCTGGTTATCACTTCTGTTCAAAAACAGGCTGGTCAGCGGAAGTTCTTTCCCACACAGGAGTTCCTTGCCTTGCTCTGCATCATTAGGGTGGAAAGAAGTTCCCCTTCGAAATAAATTCGTTTAGGATTTAGGGGGCGTATTTCCCTCCTTTTAGCCGACGGTTTTGTTTTCTTTAATTTTGGAGGATGCAATTTGGTGCGCGCGCGTGTTTTCGGGGGTTGGGGGAGCAAGTGTGTCTTTTCAGGGCTGAAATATGACACGTTATGATAATTATTATTCACATTGCCGCTATTTAAATGCTGAATGGTAACATCGCTGCCTCTAATGAGAAAGCGTCTCCCTCCATAATTAACGATCTCACATTTTCCTATTTTCTTTGCCTGATGAAAAGAATCAATTTTAATTCCTTGCAAATTACAAGCCCGCTTTTGGGAAGGGGGGTGCGCGCGCCTCGGCTCCATTTGCTTGCAGAAAACAAATCAAGTGACTTCTTAGGATCTCGCGGACTACCTCTCTCGCCTGGCCTGGGTCAGCCGCCGGCAAATCAAACCCGGGGCTTGATTAAGAAACGGAGGGAAATGGAGGAGAGCAGGCGGGGGCGGGGGCCGAGCGGGAGAAGCGTCTCCAAGCCGAAGCCACGTCTGGGTTAGAGTTGCGCCAAGCAAGCCCCTTCCTGAAAACGCGGCTGGTGGGGGAACGAGATGTAGCTCCCAGTTTGCGTCTTCTCGTGAGCCCAGGTGGTATCTTGAGGATCGGAGGGATCTTTTGGCAGCCGGAGGAGAGGGATCTGGTGGCACCTCGGAGGGGGAAACTTTGTCCAGAGTTGAAACGCCCACGAGAAAATGGTGGATCGGGGCGCGCACAAGTTCAGGAGGCCCACCACAGAGATGGGAGAGGTCACGATTTCTTCTTCTTTTCCTCTTTGAACCTA